CTCATCTGAGTACTAAAGTCACATTGAATATTTAGCTAGAATCCAATAATAGGTTATCTATTTATGGTATAAACTTCTCCTGTCAGCCACAAAATAGATTCAGGTGATCTGTTTGGCTAAATGAAAGCTCTGACAGCCCATTTAACCTGGTTGGAAAGGTTGTCCTTCGTCACCTATGCTATTCTCATAAACTGTTTCAGGTTTATTTTGGTAGACAAACAATCATGTGAAGAATTGGAAAACCAAACTTGATCAGAATTCCTCATGTTGTAGGACTACCAGTCCAGAAATATCATTAATCTTTTGTTCATCACAGTTTACGTCTCAGGCAAACAGCTCGTCAGTGTCACAATGACTGCAGATGGGAGTGATGGACAGTAGGGGGACCCCAAGAACCACCTTTACTGATACAGGAACAACAAAAAAAAACCCATCATACAATCCAGTGACACTCCCATCTGCAGCTCTTTATATCCATGTATCTATTACAGACTCTGGCAGTTTGTGTCTAACAGAACATGGATATTATCATTAAACAAGGCCTCTTCAGATTATCAGTCTTTGTGCTGTGGACTGCAGGTAATTTACTGGGGAGCGTGCATTATCAATACGTTTTAACTGAACTGAGTTTTGATCATGTTTATTTTTTTAAATGGATTTTATGTCAGAAAGTCCAAAAATTGGTTGATTATAAAGGTTTGTTTGTACAGGTCTAATTGGTGGGAGCGATGTCACCCAGAATGAGACACTGTGGAAATACAAGGGCAACAGTGCAACAATAGACTGCACACATACAAAGGGTCCCAGCTATTTCTATATGTACTGGTACAGACAGCTACCAGGAGAAACAATGAAACAAATTGTGTTCACATCAATCAACAGCAAAGACTTTGGCAATTTCAGCACAGTGAAATTCTCAGCCACCAAACCTGATGCTGCCAGTGGGACATTCACAGTGAAGAATCTGGAGCCAGAAGATAAAGGCTTGTACTTCTGTGCTGTGAGTGAACACAGTGATACAGATGCACTCAATAGCTGAACAAAAACCTCAGTGCACTGTTAGTATTACTGTTTCAATATCTCATGTACTGTAGGGGGACCTCGAGGACCGCAAATCCTCCCAGTTACACTTTGATCAAATGCCACATAATATATGACACTCCCACCTGCAGCTCTTCATATCTCTGTAGCTACACTGACAATATTCTGTTTGACTCTTGACTTTCTGAACATGGATGGACGTTTGCAAACATGGTCTCATCAGCTTGTTACTAGTTCTACTCTGGATAAAAAGTACAAAAAGATCAGCACACTGCTTTATTGGCCTCAGTGTCTCTTAGAGGGATCATGAACAAAAGCTCAAAATCACTGTGAACTTTCTGCTGTGTGCAAGTTAAAATGGTCATTGATGGTAACAGTTTTCATACAGGTGTCACTCAGACTTGATATCTAAATATCTGTGAACTGAAAAAACTCCATTACTGAAAACTACAGTATGTTTTACATCAGCAGGGGAAACAAACCTCAACAATTGAATTAAAGACAACAAGCTACACGTCCACTGACTGCAGTATCAAGATAACGTTCCTCCTTCCCCGCTGATGAAGTTAAAGCTCTGATGAAGACCTCTCTCTGACACCTCCCCTGTTTATTATACTCTGACAGTGATGCACTCTCTTCCACAGGTGCTGAGCTGAGGACCTGACAAGATTAACATGATGGTTAACACAATCTTCATGGTCTTTATATTTGGTTTTCTTCATCTTCCAGGAAATAAGGGTGAGAAATACAAGAATATTCCAGAAAGAGAGAGACATTGCACAGCTCCATTTCCAAAATCAAAATCATCTCTGCTTTTTCCACAGGTGCCTCTAAAACCAACAGTGTCCTCCAAACACCTTCTTTCATCATAAAGAGAACGGGTGAATCTGTTGCCAGAGGAATCAACTGTTCACACAGCATAACATATTACGACAATATTCTCTGGTACAAACAACAACAAGGAGCTCTAAAGCTTCTGGGATATCTGAATGGAAAATTCTTAAATCTCGAGGACAGCGTGAAGGGAAAAATCAGCTTTGATGGAGAAGGCAATAAACATTCCAGCTTCACTATTTCTGATCTTACATTAAATGACAGCGGTGTGTATTTCTGTGCTGCCAGTCGGCACAGTGCTTCAGATTCCCCACAAGTCAATACAAAAACTCTCCTTTATCTGCCTGCAGATAGACAACATGTTGAGTCTCTGAACACCTGCAGCCAGCCTCCATCTAAACCAAGCCTTTCAAGATTTTAATCAACTGTTCGGACTGAATTGTGACCTCCTCTGAGGTTGTGCTGTAGGCCCACAGATAATCAGGTTATTGTAGGATTGCAGAGAATAATGTTTGTGATACTGTCTCATGACTGATAGCAAACATGGATATTATTATCAAAAAAGTTAATGTCATACTGTCTTTTTGCTACAGGTAACTACAGGTAATTTACAATAAAAGAAATGTGTACAATTAGAAGTTTACATTAAATTATTGTTTCATGTTTGTACTATAATTAGAATCAGAATCAAAATCAGAATTTGGTTTACTACCAAGTATGTTTTTACATGTATAACGAATTTGCCTTGGTGCGTTGGTGCATAAAAATCACACAAAAATCAAGTACTGTTTGAAATATAAATAAATAAAGATGAAGATAAAAAGATTTAAAACTGTCAGCCACAATCTGGGCACATTGCAGCCGATCATCTTCTCAGCGGATTGAATTATACGGGGAGTCACACAGGATGATGGAGGCAGGTGGGGCTGGGTTCTTCCTGAAGTCCACAACCATCTCCAGCGTTTAGCTCAAGGTTGTTCTGGCTGCACCAGGTCACCACATGGTCAATCTCCCATCTGTAGGTGGACATATCTCCATCATCTGCAAACTTCAGGAGCCTGACGGACTGGTGACTGGAGGTGCAGCTGTTGGTGTGAAGGGAGAAGAGCAGAGGAGAGTTAGGTTCGAGAGTCAGACACATTTTCCCCCAGCTTCACGTGCTGTTTCCCGTCAGACAGGAAGTCTGTGATCCACCTGCAGGTGGAGTCAGGCACAGTTAGCTGGGAGAGCTTGTTGGGACATTTTAGGACTACCAGTCCAGAAATATCATTCATCTTTTGTTCATCACAGCATATGTCACAGGCAAACAGCTCGTCAGTGTTGCAATGACTGCAGATGGGAGAGATGGACAGTAGGGGGACCCCAAGAACCACTTTTACTGATACAGGAAATAAAAAAAAACACATCGTACAATCCAGTGACACTCCCATCTGCAGCTCTTTATATCCATGTGTCTATTAGAGACTCTGGCAGTTTGTGTCTATCAGAACATGGATATTATTGTTAAACAAGGCCTCCTCGGATTTTCACTCTTTGTGCTGTGGACTGCAGGTAATTTACAATAACATCAACTGTGGAAGTTTATATTTCAGGGTCTTGCTCTCAATATAGTCATTATAGTAGTATAGTAACTGTGGTTACCTTTACTGCTTTACACACAGGTCTAATTGATGGGAGCGATGTCACCCAGAATGACATAATGTGGAAATACAAGGGCGACAGTGCAGCAATAGACTGCAGACACACGAAGGGTGAATTATACTACTACATGTACTGGTACAGACAGCTACCAGGAGAAACAATGAAACTAATTGTGTTCACATCATCAATCAACACAAATCATGACTTTGGCAATTTCAGTACAGTGAAATTCTCAGCCACCAAACCTGACGCTGCCAATGGGACATTCACAGTGAACAATCTGGAGCCAGGAGATAAAGGCTTGTACTTCTGTGCTGTGAGTGAACACAGTGATACAGATGCACTCAATAGCTGAACAAAAACCTCAGTGCACTAATTATCTCATGTACTGTAGGGGGACCTCATGCACCACATATACTTCCAGTTACACAGTGATTCAATATGCAGCGAACAGAATCAGAGTACGTCACAGAAGATAGCGACACTCCCACCTGCAACTTGTCATATCTCTGTGACTACACTGACAGTTGAGACTCAAACCTTCAGAACAAGGACATGATCAAACAGGATCACCACATCTACCAGATGTACCGGTACAGACAGCTGCCAGGAGCAATGGAGCAAGCAATGAAACTTATAGTGTTCACAATAGTTGGGAGTGAAGATCATGACTTTGGCAATTTCAGCCACCAAACCTGGCGCTCACAGTGGGACATTCACAGTGAACAAAAAAGAAAATAAAGGCTTGTATTCCTGTACTGTGAGTCAGGGACCACAGTGACACATTTAATTTACAACGCTACGTAAAAACCTTTCTATTGACCTTCTCTTCATCCTGTATTACTAGACTAACTGTTACTACTAAACTACTTTACAACACGAAAATCTTAAGAAAATACTATTTTAGAATATTTTAAGCTTCATAACAAGTTTTGAAATATCGCTGTCTTTCTAACTAAAATATATGGAATTAACCATTATTATTCATGAGAAAGAGGTAATTATGGAAACATATGAGTAAGGCTTCAAATGACAGTTAATTTAGTGTCAGAATATGATGATACTATTTTATTACATCTTTACATTACTTGTAGTTTACAGTCCAGTCCAACACCAAAAAGTATTCATGTGTAAAACAGATGTATTAGATATTTAAGCATCAAATTTAATGCAATAACTGGACAAACTAATCTTAACTCAAGGTCACCTTACTGGTCCTCCACTACATTTACCAAAGACCATCAGATATGGTTAAAGCTCCAGAAAGAGCTAGCAAGTGGACCTTGAGTTAATATTATTTTGACAAACTTCTCCTCTTCAGCATATCATTACTCAGATCTTTACACACAGAGCCAGTGATGTGTAAGAGGTAGTTAAAATGAGTCAGATGCTCAATGACACCACCCACCTAATGACTTGGGAGGGTTTAAGCCACAAGAAGGTTGGAATAGTCAGTATAACTGTTTCACTCATTGCAAAGACAAACAGAAAAACACAAAATGATCCTCTTATTCATTTGCATTACTTTTAACTCTATTCTGGTTTCAGGTAATGTCATTAAAACTCATTTATAATATAATTTTAATTCACATTTTCAACAAAAAGTGTTTATAGATTTGCTTGTGTACAGCCACTCTCAAATATTACTGCTATTTCAGCTGTCTTATATATTAATTTACATTTCATGTTGTTCAATTCACCAGTGTTTATGCTCTGGTTATATTCTGTCTGAGGGTTTGATTCTTTTTAAGCAGGTTCCTCTCTCAGTGAACAAGTCTACCAGACTCCAGCTGACATGTACAACACACCAGGAGGAAAAGCTGAAATCAACTGTTCACACAGTATTCAGAGCTATGACCGAATCCTCTGGTACAAACAAACAGAAAGGCAACTACAGTTCCTGGGATATATGTTGGCAAACATAAGAAACCCAGAGAATGGAGTGAATGTGAAGATGGAAGGGAGTGCAAATAAAGGCCAAACCTGCACATTAATAATTGAAGAACTCCAGCTGAACAGCAGTGCAGTGTACTTCTGTGCTGCTAGTTTACACAGTGCTACATATCACTGCTCCTCAGTACAAAAACCTCATCACACTCTTCATCTCTGTAGCACACAGCCTCTTGCACCTGTATGCTTTCCTTTCAGTAGGTGGTGGTATATCTTACCTCAGCCCTTTATACTGAACCAGTGGAGTGTAGTGGTAGTTGACATGATAGTTAGAATATTAGAAGATGCATGATGACACCACCCACCTGATGCCTACATGTTGGTTTGTAGATAGGAAGGTTTACTAAGAGTTGACCAGCGGCCATTGGTTTGAATCCAGCCTGCAGCCCCCCTCGCTGTATCTCATCCCCTTTCTCTCCCCCTTTCCTGTCTGTCTTGAACTGTCAAATAAAGCCAAGAAAATATATATATGAAAAACTGGTCCAACTTCACATAACCTTCACACACTGACTCATGCAGTATTTTTCACACCTGCAGGGGGAGACAAACACTGCTAATAAAGCATAGGTTGTGATGATATACTTTGTGGTGGATGACAATAAAACAGATGAAAAAATAAATGAGGTTTCGGCAAATGTTTTATTCTGAGCATTGCTTTGATTGGATTAAAGCCCTGCAGACTTGTTCATGTTTAACAAGCCTGTCTTTGATGTTTTCTTCGACCTTGCCTTTTCAACCTGAAGTCTGCATGTGATTTGAGTTGTTAAAATTCAAACAGTAATATGGTAATAGAATATCTGAGAGCCTTGTTTCTCTCTTTATCTCTTTGCATCTTCCTTTTGTTTCCCTCAGTTCCCCACTCCCATGTTCCATCTATTCATCATCTCTTTGCCTCCATTACTTGATTCCATCATCCCTGTCTGTAATTACCTGCAGGTTTATGAACCTGAAATTGAGATCTATGGTGGATTTGCTGTTTGAGGAGGGTTACTTTGAGGACATCACCTCTAGCAACACCTTCTTCAAGAACTGTACCTTCTTTGCCACCCTATTCTGTCGCCTAGCAACCAAGACCGAATCCTCCATCATTTCAGCTTTTAAAATTGCGGAGCTGCCTTTCATCCCAAACTATACGATTGATTTGTCTCCTCCAAAATGACACAAAAGATGTCACATGTAGAAAGCCGATGGGAACTGTATCAGCAGCTGTGTCCACACATACTAGACCTTCCACTGGCTTGTTAGTTGTTTACAGTCTTCACACACGTCAAGCAATCACTCACAGCTGCTATCAGTGGCAGCCAGGATTCCTCATTAGATTGGGATTATGAAACTTGTTTGCTTATTAATGCTCTATCTCTTCTGGGGCTCCCTGTTCAGAACTTAAGGCTGATAGTTGCCATAGTAAACCTTATTAGCACAATGAGACATTATGGGAACAAACCACATGAGGAATGCAGTTGGACTGTGCAGGTGTGACCTCCTGTTAGCCAGAGGATTTGAGTTTATCAACTCATAGTGTTATTACTGCAATACACTGCAATAATTGGGGAGACTGTATTCATATTCACGATTACTGCACTAGAGTGACACTTGGCAGATTATAATGAGCTTTGATTCTGCACTGGAAACGATTTTTATAGAATGAAATACCTGTGGAGTTTGCTAGAAATGGGTTGAGACACTGTAGATGCATACTAGTAGCCCAAATGATCACTTGGTCACTTCTCTGCCAAATGAAAGTGACAATTTGCAACTTATTAGTGTCAAGTCAATCAAATAGAGTTAACCATATAGCACACAAACTATTGTTGTTGTTATTATTATTATTTTGTGTGGGACACACTCTATTCTGAGGGTTTCTGTGCCTGCTCCTCTCAAATGGTAGGTTGCAATAAACAGGTCAATGATGGTATTTGTTTGGGATGTCCCTTTTTTCATTCATTCACATAAACCACTTTTTCTTTATCAAAAAAACTCATTAATAGGGGGTTAGCTTTACAATGTATTTTCATTGTACACTAAAATATGTACAAATTTAACACTCATAATGTACAGAACAGATTTTTATCAGTTTTCTATCAGTGTTTTAAGTTGTAAAAGACAACATTTATACAATCACATGAATTTCAAACAGATGTTTATTAGGCGTGCGTAAAGGGTGCCACCCCCCTGCAGAGAGTTCTCAAACTCTCTTCAATGGGGCAGGAAGTTACAGCCTACTGTAGGGCTACAGTGGCGCTACTTCACACTTTGTCCATCCTTAAGCGTCGTTCCTTCACTGCAGCGAACACCGTAATAACGCGAGGAGCGTTTTACACGAAGTAAGTTTCAAACATATATGCGTTTATCACATCTAGACTGTTTGTCTTATACACCTCTATTATCTAAGGCATAAAAACATATCATACACAGATGCAGCCCTTTAACGTACATAAAAGCCACAGTGCAGCTTAGATGTGAAATCCAAGCTCTGTCCATGGTGCTGATATAACCGCACAGCCTAAATACAATATTCCTTACAATAAAGAATTCAATCTTCTGTATAATGATATATGACTGGTGGATTTTGAACACAACGCTGCATTCTTACGGTATTTCCCCAAACCGACCTACTGTTTTTTATGCTTATTTATCTATTAATTTATTATTTTTATTACCTACTTTATTATATGGCATCAGCGTGAATGGAAACGCTACAAATCCCTTCGATTTAAAGACGAGTTTAATGTATGAAACCGAGAACAATCGGCGCAAAATGTGTCGCCATTAGAATTTAAAGATAAATGTGTGTACATTTAAAAAATGCACATTTTGAACTTTTTTAAATTTTTTTTTTAAGTAAAACGCTTGGAACATTCATGACGTCATCCCCACCGTCATTTCCATGACGTAGCAACCACTTCAAAGGACTCCTTTGATGTGTGCCGCTGCAAAAATCAACCCCATGAAGCTCATTTCATCATCAACTCCAGTCCGAGTAGATACAGTTAGCAATCGATCAGGATATCTCCCACCTTTGTGCAGAGTCACACGATCAACGATAATTGGAAATCAGCAGAAATATCATTTCTTTGCAACTTCCACTATACGCCAACATGTCAGTTTTGAGTCTTGGTCTAGTTGTGGTTCCTTGGGCCATCAGAACTGCTCGTTGCCTCGTTAGAACTGGATTGCAGCGCATTCCCCCCAGTTCACCCAGCGTTTACCCAGAACCGGTGCAACGCGAGTCACCTGCAGAGGTAGACCCAGCATCACAGGCACGGGCAAACTGACAGGGCTGGTGTTAGGACTGGACCCAGGAGCAGACACCCAGACAGTATGGAAGGTTTAAAGGGGGTTTTATTCCACGCACACACACACACACAGGGGGGATGAGGGGCGGCCACAGCAGGAACGGGTGGGTGAGATGGCGGAAGAGACCGGAGACACAGAGGCACAGGAGAGCGGACACAGGAAGCCAAACTGCACAAGGGACCCTGGGGCACGGGAGAGAAACGGTTAGACAAGGGGACACGCACAGGGAAAACACAAGAGAGCTTGAAGTTGCCTAACTCAATACTGAGAGGAGCCACGAGAGTTACCACCACATAGGCTGAAACAATCTGGCGATGAATGGGAGGAAGACCGGGGTTCTTGAAGACTGAGGCATGATGAATGATTGAGAGCAGGTGAGACAGCAGGCAGCAGGTGAGGAGAATGGAGGCCGCACCCTCAGACACACAGGGAAGGGGGAGGAGCAAAGGGAGCAGGAGGGGAGCAGAGCCATGACAGTACCCCCCTCAACGGACGCCTCCTGGCGGCCCTACCGGGCTTGTCAGGATGGGATCGGTAGAAGTCCGAAAGAAGTGCCGGGGAACCCAAGAACGCTCCTCCGGCCCGTACCCTTCCCAGTCCACCAGGTACTGGAAACCCCGGGCCCCGCCGTCGGACGTCCAGGATCTGGCGAACTGTGTAGGCTGGGTGGTCGTCAATGAGCCGGGGGGCGGAGGGGGTCGGCCGGAGGGCACAGAGGGCTGGAGGAGACAGGCTTCAGGAGAGATACGTGAAACACAGGATGCACATGTAGTGACGGAGGGAGTTTTAACCTCACCGCCACAGGATTGATGATTTTGTCCACTTCAAAAGGTCCAATAAATCGTGGAGCCAGCTTTCGAGACTCTACCTGCAATGGCAGGTCTCGAGAAGACAGCCATACCTTCTGACCAGGTGTGTAATCGGGGGCAGGGAGTCGGTGGCGGTCCGCCAGGCGTTGGTTTCTAGCCGCTGTCCGTAGCAGGGCTGCACGAGCCTCAGTCCAAATCCGGCGACAGCGGCGCAGGTGGTCCTGTACTGACGGGACCGCCACCTCCCCTTCCTGAGATGGGAACAATGGAGGTTGAAAACCATAAGCTGCCATGAATGGGGACATACCTGTGGCAGCGCAGGTGAGGGAGTTGTGAGCATATTCGATCCACGGAAGAAATGTGCACCAGGAGACCGGATGTCGGGCGGCGACGCAGCGCAAGGCAGCCTCCAGTTGCTGGTTAGCCCGTTCTGTCTGGCCGTTGGATTGTGGGTGGTAACCTGAGGATAGACTGACAGAAGCGCCCAAGGCCTGGCAGAAGGCTCGCCAAACCTGGGAGGCGAATTGTGGACCACGGTCTGAAACTAGGTCTTGAGGGATTCCATGTAGGCGGAACACATGGGTGACCAGGAGTTTGGCAGTCTCTAGGGACGAGGGGAGCTTGGGCAGAGGCACGAAATGGACAGACTTAGAAAAACGGTCAACAATAGTGAGAATGGTGTCATTACCTTCAGAGGTAGGCAGTCCAGTAACAAAGTCCAGGGCGATATGGGACCAGGGGCGACTTGGAACGGGCAAGGGGTGTAATTGTCCAGCTGGCAGCTGGTGGGAGGATTTCCGCGGGCACAGACAGAACAGGCGGCTACAAAGGCTCTCGTGTCTCTCGCCATGGATGGCCACCAAAACTTCCGCCGTAGGAAATCCAGTGTTCGCTGGTAACCAGGATGGCAAGAGATCCTGGAAGAGTGAGCCCACTGGAGGACCTGGGACCTGGTTGAGTCTGGAACAAAGAGTCGGTTAGGGGGCCGTTACCTGGGTCGGGTTGTGAGCGTTGTGCTTGCTTCACCAGAGCCTCTATCCGCCAGTTCACTGCAGCCACCACACAAGAAGCCGGGAGGATGGTCTCTGGTTCAGTCCCCGGCGTCTCGGGTCGGCTTGGCGTGATAGGGCATCTGGCTTGGCATTGCGGGACCCAGGTCGGTAGGTGAGGGTGAAAACAAAACGGTCAAGGAACAAAGCCCACCGGGCCTGACGGGAGTTGAGCCTCTTGGCTGAGCGGAGGTACGCCAGGTTCTTGTGGTCCGTCCACACGATGAACGGGAGAGCAGCGCCCTCCAACCAATGCCTCCACTCCTGAAGGGCTACCACCACCGCCAGCAGCTCTCTGTTCCCAACGTCATAGTTCCTCTCCGCTGGGGACAGGCGTCTGGAGAGGAAGGCACAGGGGTGCAGCTTCTGGTCCTTGGGGGATCGCTGGGAGAGTACTGCCCCAATGCCAGTGTCAGAGGCATCCACCTCCACCACGAACTGGAGGGGAGGGGTCAGGATGCCGCAGCACCGGGGCAGAAGTAAACAGTTCCTTCAGGGCTAGAAAGGCTGTTTCTGCTTCAGGGGACCAAGCGAACGGTGCTTTCACCGAGGTGAGCTTAGTCAGGGGGCTGCTACCTTACTATAATTCCTAATAAAGCGGCGGTAAAAGTTAGCAAACCCCAAGAAGCGCTGCAACTGTTTGCGAGTGGTGGGTCTCGGCCAATCAGCCACGGCCTGAATCTTGGCTGGGTCAGCCTTAACCTGCCCCGCTCAATAATAAACCCCAGAAAAGACACGGATGTCACATTGAACTCGCATTTCTCGGCTTTCACGTAAAGCTTGTTCTCCAGGAGTCTCTGGAGTACCTGCCGGACATGCTGAACATGTTCCTCCTGGGACTGCGAAAAGATGAGTATGTCATCTAAATAGACGAACAGGAACCTGTTCAGCATGTCTCTCAGCACATCATTGACCATGGCCTGGAACACAGCTGGCGCATTGGTCAATCCAAAGGGCATCACCAAATATTCGAAGTGGCCTAAAGGGGTGTTAAAGGCAGTCTTCCACTCATCTCCCTCTCTGATCCTGACTAGATGGTATGCGTTCCGGAGGTCTAATTTCGAGAACACTTTAGCCTTATGAAGGGGTTCAAATGCCGGGTCAATGAGAGGGAGAGGGTACTTATTCTTAATGGTGATGTCATTAAGCCCTCGATAATCAATGCAAGGGCGGAGGGACTGGTCTTTCTTTGTTACAAAAAGAAACCTGCCCCTACCGGAGACGAAGAGGGTCGAATAAGCCCTGCCGCTAGTGAGTCACCTATATATTTCTCCATGGCTTCGCGCTCAGGTCTGGAAAGGTTATACAGGCGACTAGACGGCAGAGTGGAACCAGGGAGCAGCTCTATAGCGCAATCATATGGCCTATGAGGAGGTAATGAGACGGCACGATGTTTACTAAAAACCTCCCCTAGGTTGTGGTATTCTACAGGGACGGCAGATAGATCAGGGGGCTCGGGAGGTTTGGGAACAGTGGGATGTGTTACACTAGCGGACTGGAGACAATGTGAATGACAGTGAGCACTCCAGCTAATGAGTGAGCCAGTAGACCAGTCGAATTGGGGATTGTGGAGTTTTAGCCAGGGGTAACCTAATACAACAGGAGTGTTGGGTGATGAAATAACCAGTAAGCTAATCTCCTCACGGTGATTACCAGAAAGGATAAGTGTGAGGGGAACGGTTTGCCGAGTAATGTTGGCTAAATGTTTCCCGTCTAAGGCGTTAACGGGTTGGTTGTCAGGGAGTTTGATAGTGGGAATGTTTGCCTGAAGCACGAATGCCGAGTCAATGAAACTCTCCTCGGCACCTGAGTCGACTAGTGCTGTGAGGGGAATGGAATTTAACTGCCAGTGAAGGGACGCTTTTAATTGCAAGCGACTAAGAGGGGCAGAGGAGGAAGCGGGGACTTGGCTCACAGGAGCAACACCATTCTCCGTTTCTTTCTTTGGCAGCTGGGGGCAGGCAGCCAAGAAGTGACCGTGCTGGCCACAATAAATGCATAACCCGGACCTCATCCGGCGTTGGCGTTCTGCCTGAGTGAGGCGGGTGCGACCCAATTGCATAGGCTCCTCTACGGGCTCGGGGGGTACCTGGCTCGAGGGGCGTTTGCATGGGGCTGCTAACTGGGGATCTACTGAGATGGTGGCTCTGGGTAAGGCATGGAAAGGAGAGGCTTGTGAGCGCCCCCACTTCTCACGCCGTCTCTCACGAAGACGATTGTCAAGCCTAATCGCTAGTGAGATTAGCTCGTCAAGGCTAGCAGCGCTATCCCTAGCCGCTAACTCGTCCTTCATAACCTCCGACAGCCCATGCACGAAAACAGTCTGCAACGCCTCTTCATCCCAACCACTCTCTGCCGCTAAAACTCTAAACTCGACTGAGAACTCAGCTACTGAACCAGAGCCCTGACGAAGATTCAGTAAGCGTTTAGCTGCCTCTCTGCCTTGCACTGGATGATCAAAAACTTTTCTTAATTCGTCAGAAAATCGCTGGAAGGTTTCACAAATAGGGGAGTGCTTCTCCCACAGGGCGGTTGCCCACTGAGCTGCTTTCCCTGACAATAAGCTAATCACAAAAGCCACTCGGGCGCTATTAGAACTGTAGGTCAACGGCTGTTGTTGGAAAACTAGTGAGCACTGAAGCAGAAACCGCCCACAAGCCCCCAAATCCCCAGCATACCGTTCAGGTGTAGGAACGTGTGGTTCCCGGGGCGGGGGAGGAGAGGCTGCATGCGGCATGGCTGGGGAGGCAGAGGGAGTAGCTGCTTCAATGGCGGTGGTAGGAGCTGTGGGAGGAGTGGAGACCTGATCGAGCTTGGATCCAAGGGCGGCCACACTACAGCGAAGGTCTTGGATGGCTGCCACGATCCCGTCGAGGACCTTCTCGTGTTGGCCCACTCGTTGTCCCTGGTAGGCCAGTGCGCTCGGACGGAGTCTGGGTCCGCTGGGTCCATGCTGGCCAGATTGTTCTGACAGGGCTGGTGTTAGGACTGGACCCAGGAGCAGACACCCAGACAGTATGGAAGGTTTAAAGGGGGTTTTATTCCACGCACACACACACACACAGGGGGGATGAGGGGCGGCCACAGCAGGAACGGGTGGGTGAGATGGCGGAAGAGACCGGAGACACAGAGGCACAGGAGAGCGGACACAGGAAGCCAAACTGCACAAGGGACCCTGGGGCACGGGAGAGAAACGGTTAGACAAGGGGACACGCACAGGGAAAACACAAGAGAGCTTGAAGTTGCCTAACTCAATACTGAGAGGAGCCACGAGAGTTACCACCACATAGGCTGAAACAATCTGGCGATGAATGGGAGGAAGACCGGGGTTCTTGAAGACTGAGGCATGATGAATGATTGAGAGCAGGTGAGACAGCAGGCAGCAGGTGAGGAGAATGGAGGCCGCACCCTCAGACACACAGGGAAGGGGGAGGAGCAAAGGGAGCAGGAGGGGAGCAGAGCCATGACACAAACTACTTAAAGGACAGAAGCTACAATAATATGAGGAGGCAGTGGCACTACAATGACTGCCGCTCTAATGGCTTACATTGTCTGGGTAATGACACCCAACAAAAGAAAGAAGAAGAAGAGGAAGAGCAGAATAGCACCTCTTCAGGCATTCGCTCTATAATTCACAGGAGTCATTCTGGCGGCGAGAGAGTTCAGCTTTCTCCTCTCTCAAACCCAGTACTTGACCGAGAGACATCACAGCCGGTACAGGAGGTGCTACATGAGTCACCGGTAGAGGTAAACCTAGCATCACGGACACAGACAAACTACTTAAAGGACAGAAGCTACAATAATCGGAGGACTCAGTGGCACTACTATGACTGGCGCTTTAAAGGCTTGCATTGTCTGGGTAATAACACCCAACAAAAGAAAGAAGAAGAAGAGGAAGAGCAGAATAGCACCCCTTCAGGCATTCGCTCTATAATTCACATGAGTCATTCTGGTGGTGAGAGAGTTCAGCTTTCTCCTCTCTCAAACCCAGTACTTGACCGAGAGACATCACAGCCTGCTGGCACAGAGTCAGATGGGAATTCAGCATTTTCTTTGGCAGCTGCTTATTCCATGACCAAAGCACAGATTTTAGCAGGAATCGCCAGGCTCAGAGAAATGGGGTACTTTGCCATTGCTCAAACAAGAACTTTGTTGTCCATGGCTCAGGCAACAATGTCCTCACTTATAGAAGAAACCATGCCTGTTTTCACCCTGGCCCAAGCAGGTATTGCTGCTGTTATTCACCCACTCCAAGCAGGTATTGCTATTGCTATTGTTATTCCCACCATCCGTGTGAGAGTCGCTGCTGCTTTTTCCGCAATTCAAGCGGCAGTGGCACGATGGAGACAGCGGAGGACCCCCTAATGGACCAGCTGTTCCCCCACACTTGTATTTTTAAAAAAAAATAATAATTTCTAGCCGGCCAACTGCTTTTGACCATCCATCACTACGTCATACTGAGTTTTACTCGAATGACAGTGACCGACAGCAGTGGCCTGGAAATATGGTGGCACTGAGGCTTAATAATCCTCCAGTGTCCATGTGGGTTTTCCCCGGGTGCTCCGGTTTCCTCCCACAAAGTACTGTTACTGTCAGGTGGCACCTCAGTCTCACATTAGCTTTCACTCCCCTGGTTTTAGCCTTGTATACAGCACAATCTGCCTTCCAATGTCCTTTCTCGTGACAATAGTTACCAATTCTCTTTGGACACATCTTAATAATCCTGCAGCGTCCACGTGGGTTTTCCCCGGGTGCTCCGGTTTCCTCCCACAAACAAAAGAATACAAATAAAAATTCTAATCGTTAATAAATTGTGATTTGCATTATTTATAAATGCCATACATACTTGCATTTTGAATAAACATTCGTTATTAAGAAAAACATTACCATGAAACAACAGCACAGCGTTACTTTCACTAAGTGTCTGTTCACAATAAAGGAAATGTTGCCTTAGTAAAAGATAGGAGGTAAGCATCTCCCCACATACTCTCATTCATTCTCATCCTCTCTACTTTGTTGCTTTCATGATGTTGGTAACTAAACTTTCCTGCAGGTGTTTCACATTTAAAGCCTTCACTTGAAAGGATTAGAGTTACAGTTGCTAAAGGGCCTTCTGCAACATTAATATTTGATTAATCCCCACCGTATCTCCATCCTTTCAACAAGATTAGACGGCTGAGGATGCTAGTACATTCCTGCCTCCCTCTTTACTCCACAGTATTGGTGGCTCCATCCCCATTGTGTTTTCCTATTACTCTGAGTTTCTGGCCCAGGAGAAACAAGGAGCCAGTTACCCAGCTAAACAGCCTGTAACCTTAAACATTTTATTTTACACCACAGAATGGGATCATTGCATTGGACAGGGGTGGAATCTAACTAACAATTTTTACTTAAGACTTTTTCTAATTACAGTTTTGAGGTACTTTTACATATTATCCTATTTTATACTTCCACTTTACTAAATTTCAGATGGAAATATTCATATTTACAAGACCTTTTTAAGTTACAGATGAACATTTCAAATTTTTTTATCAACTTCTAAAATATAATGCATTTTAGAGGTTAATCAACCCATTCTTATTTTGATTGGCCCTAATCATAATAAATAGTAATAAATATATAATCTCAGGAAGAGATACTATTCAATATTTATTCCACCACTGCCTTTTGAGGCTTCACTATAGAACAACTACATTAGTGGCTCTCAGGGTTCAGAGATTTTCAGCTGTGTTTGAGTGGGTTGCAAAACAAGAATTACCTTCATTTTCATCTTGTTTACTTCAGTCACCAGCAGCTATCTTAATAAGGTTAGGTATAATCAGAACTTATTTGATCAGTGGTTTCAGCCTTTCTACTAACAGTGTGTGTTAGTGGTATAAAATTGCAAGTTAACTGCAGCTCATGCTTCACCAGATACCAGACTGAATGTTTTCAGCAGCTATACAAATAGTGTCCTTCATCCAGAGAGAGTCTGTTGTCTAAAGCATGTATGTTTACTGTAGATGTTTCAAGGCTAGGCAATCAATTATTTTCGTTGTAGCTGTCTTGTCTGGGGCTATAAGATCTAAGCATCTTTGTTTTATTGTAGATCCAGTAACTCCCTCCATTTAGCATTTATAAGAAGTATATATACACATAATAATGATTCATACCACTCAAAATGCAGGTGAAGCTGATATATAGACATTTCAATTGTCTGTAAATGTATTTGTTAACAATTCTAACTCCCTACATAACTCATGAAACATCTGTACATCATGATTGATGTAACATAGCTGTGATCATATTTAATGACTACACAAAGCCAAATCTGTACAGTGTTCCGACAAAGTCTGAATATTTTGTTTAGAATTTTGTTTCTCATGGTCTGAGAGTCTTTCAGGTGCTTTTTGGCTGGAGTGCTGCAGCGATGGTCGTCCTTCTGGAAGGTTCTACTCTCTCCACAGAGGAACCCTGGAGCTCTGTCAGGGTGACCATCGGGTTATTGGTCACCTCCCTAACTAAAGCCCTTCTCCCCCGATCACTCAGTTTAGAGAGACGGCCAGCTCTACGAAGAGTCTGGGTGGTTCCAAACTTCTTCCATTTACGGATGATGGAGGCCACTGTGTTCATTGGGACCTTTAAAAGCAGCAGAAATTTTTCTGTACCGTTCCCCAGATCTGTGCCTTGATACAATCCTGTCTCGGAGGTCTACAGACAGTTCCTTCAACTTCATGCTTGTTTTGCGGTCTGACATGCACTGTTAACTGTGGGACCTTATATAGACAGGTGTGTGCCTTTCCAAATCATGTCCAATCAACTGAATTTACCACAGGTGGACTCCAATTAGACTAACAATGTGACAGCTTTTGGCCACCCGTTTCTACTTCACCTTTGATTCTGAGAAATTGTGACAATTCACATATATATTAAGTGCAGGTGCGCTGGTGTGCTGGCAAACCACGACGGTCAGAAAGTAGCTGCTTCATCTTTTTCTTTTTAGAATTGTATGTTTTAATGTTTACTTTATCTAGCCATCTATTGTCTTGTTTTTTTGTAGGCTATGTGAATTGTGACTCTGGCTCTGTAACAGCAAAACATGTTCATTTAAAAAGTGATTCCTGTTACCTTAATTTTCAAATATTTGATCTTAATTCACATGTAGGAAAATGCCCAATATGATCACTCTAAACGTAGGCTACTGCCCAGCACAACCAGTTTATTGATAGGCTACAGTTCATAAAAGATTTCATCCCACGCTTTTTGAAACAAGTTGCCTATATCACCCCCTTTCCATCTTTTATTTAAGGAGTTTTGTGGGGAGATTGACTATTTGGACCGTTGGATAACATTTATGAATATTGTAGGGACTAAGTAGGCGTTTGTGGGGGTCTTTGAGATTAGGTAGAATAACCTAATATTGTTTGTATCGGTAAATACGCCGCTCTGGATTCTTGCTTATATCCTGCCCAGTGACGGACACAATTTATTGTTTTACACTAAATTTGATTGATTAAAAACACTACATAAGTCACTTATTTTGGTGATTCAAAGAGTGAACATTTGTTGTTTATTCTTGGGATAGAAACTTTTTTAAATCTATATCGTCCTCAATGGAAATTCACTTTTCTCAGGTCAGAGTCACACAGGTCAGAGTCACACAAGCTGTCATATTGTTAGTTATCAAGGACAATTTTTTGTTTTTCGTGTTGAAAAATGTTGAAACAAATGAGAAAAATAAACAATAAATTATCTGTACGGAGCCCCTTACGGGACATTAGGGAGAAAGCTCCCGGACAGAACATTAGTTTGAAAGTCGGAAATTTCGTGTCCCAGATCACGAATCAATAGATTAAGTGTCACATATTTCCGTGAGACTTGGATTAACATGAATGTCTATCTAACGGACCCCCACATTGAAAAACAACGCAAAAGGTACACATCTTTCGTTGGAACTTGACGGCAGGGATCCTTGGCCATGCGTCACACCTTTGATGAGTAGGGAGTGAGACTGTGTTGGGCTGCACCACGTCACCCAGAGGTCAATCTCCCATCTGTAGACGGACTCATCTCCATCAGAGATGAGTCCAATGAGGGTGGTGTTATCTGCAAACTTCAGGAACCTGACGGGCTGGTGACCGAAGGTGCAGCTGTCGGTGTACAGGGAGAAGAGCAGAGAAGAAAGAACGCAGCCTTGGGGGGATCCGGTGCTGATGGTCCGAGAGTCAGAGACATTTTCCCCAACTTCACGTGCTGTTTCCTGTCAGACAGGAAGTCTGTGATCGACCTGCAGGTGGAGTCAGGCACAGTGAGCTGGGAGAGCTTGTCCTGTAACAGAGCTAGGATGATGGTATTTAAAGCAGAGCTGAAGTCCACAAACAGGATCCTGACATAGGTTCCTGGAGAGTCCAGATACTGGAGGGGAAAGTGCAGGGCGATGTTTAGTGAAGAATTTTAAAATCAAACTTGATCAGATGTCAGAATTCTTCACATTTTAGGACTACCAGTCCTAAAATATTTCTCCTCAGTATCTCATCAGTATACGTCACTGGCAAACAGCTTGTCAGTGTTACAATGACTGCAGATGATAGTGATGGACAATAGGGGGACCCCAAGAACCACTTTAACTGATACAGAAACTCAACAAAACCACATCATACAATCCGGAGACACTCCCATCTGCAGCTCTTCATATCTATGTATCTATTAGAGACTCTGGCATTTTGCATGTAACAGAACATGGATATTATCATTAAACAAGGCCTCCTCAGATTATTAGTCTTCGTGCTGTGGACTGCAGGTAATTTACTGGGTATCCTGCATTATTATTACATTTTAAATGAAATATCTTTTGATCACGTTTTTGACTTGTTGCAATTTATTATTTTAAATATAAGTTTTGTCAAAAAGTCCAGAAATTGGTTGATTATAAAGGTTTGTTTGTACAGGTCTAATTGATGGGAGCGATGTTACCCAGAATGACACACTGTGGAAATACAAGGGCAAAAGTGCAACAATAGACTGCAGACACACAAAGGATGCAAGCTACAGTCAGATGTACTGGTACAGACAGCTACCAGGAGAAACAATGAAACTAATTGTGTTCACATCAATCAGCAGCAAAGACTTTGGCAATTTCAGCACAGAGAAATTCTCAGCCACCAAACCTGACTTTGCCAGTGGGACATTCTCAGTGAACAATCTGGAGCCAGAAGATAAAGGCTTGTACTTCTGTGCTGTGAGTCAACACAGTGATACAGATGCACTCAATAGCTGAACAAAAACCTTGGTGCACTGTTAGTATTACTGTTTCAATTATCTCATGTACTGTAGGGGGACCTCAAGGACCACAAATCCTCCCAGTTACACTTTGATCAAATGCCACATAATATATGACACTCCCACCTGCAGCTCTTCATATCTCTGAAGTTATTAGAAACTCTGGCAGTTTGCATCTAACAGAACATGGATATTATCATTAAAGAAGGCCTCCTCAGGTTATTAGTCTTTGTGCTGTGGACTGCAGGTAATTTACTGGGTATCCTGCATTATTATTACATTTTAAATGAACTAACTTTTGAGCATGTTTTTGATTTGTTGGAATTGTTAATCATTTTAATGGAAGTTTTGTCAAAAAGTCCAGAAATTGGTTGATTATAAAGGTTTGTTTGTACAGGTCTAATTGATGGGAGCGATGTCACCCAGAATGAGACACTGTGGAAATACAAGGGCAACAGTGCAACAATAGACTGCAGACACACAAAGGATGCTGGCTACAGCCAGATGTACTGGTACAGACAGCTACCAGGAGAAACAATGAAACTAATTGTGTTCACATCAACCACCAGCACAAATCATGACTTTGGCAATTTCAGCACAGAGAAATTCTCAGCCACCAAACCTGATGTTGCCAGTGGGACATTCACAGTGAACAATCTGGAGCCAGAAGATAAGGGCATGCACTTATGTGCTGTAAGTGAGCACAGTGCTACATATCACTGCTCCTCAGTACAAAAACCTCATCACACTTTTCATCTCTGTAGCACACAGCCTCTTGCACCTGTATGCTTTCCTTTCAGTAGGTGGTGGTATATCTTAACTCAGCCCTTTATACTGAACCAGTGGCGTGTAGTGGTAGTCGACATGATGGTTAGAATATTAGAAGATGCACGATGACACCACCCACCTCATGCCTTCATGTTGGTTCATGGATAGGAGGGTTACTCTAAGGGGAGGTTGGAAATATTTTCAGTGTAAGTGCTGCTACACTGAAGAAAACACAATGATTAACAGCAACAACTTATTGATCTTCTATTATTCACTCTACAACTGACACTCCCATCTTCAGCTCTTTATATCCATGTAACTATTAGAGACTCTGGCAGTTTGCGTCTTACAGAACATGGATATTATCATTATACAAGGCCTCCTCAGATTATCACTCTTTGTGCTGTGGACTGCAGGTAATTTACTGGGGACACTGCATTATTAATACATTTTAAATGAAATTACTTTTGATCATGTTTTTGACAATTTGCAACTTTTTATTATTTTAAACAGAAGTTATGTCAGAAAGTCAAGAAATTGGTTGATTATAAAGGTTTGTTTGTACAGGTCTAATTGAAGGGCGCGATGTCACCCAGAATGACACACTGTGGAAATACAAGGGCAACAGTGCAACAATAGACTGCAGACACACAAAGGATGCTGAGTATTTCTATATGTACTGGTACAGACAGCTACCAGGAGAAACAATGAAACTAATTGTCTTCACATCAATCAGCAGCAAAGACTTTGGCAATTTCAGCACAGAGAAATTCTCAGCAACCAAACCTGATGCTGCCAGTGGGACATTCACAGTGAACAATCTGGAACCAGAAGATAAAGGCATGTACTTCTGCGCTGTGAGTAAACACAGTGATACAGATGCACTCAATAGCTGAACAAAAACCTCAGTGCACTGTTAGTATTACTGTTTCAATATCTCATGTACTGTAGGGGGACCTCGAGGACCACAAATCCTCCCAGTTACACTTTGATCAAATGCCACATAATATATGACACTCCCACCTGCAGCTCTTCATATCTCTGAAGCTACACTGACAGTATTTACTGTAATGTACACATGTTTCACTGATGGCAGTGAGGTCACGCAGAACTCCACACTGTGGAAAGACAAGAGTGGCACTGCAACAATACACTGCAGCCACACAAAGGAGGACTTTTACTACCAGATGTACCGGTGCAGACAGCTGCCAGGAGAAGCAATGAAATTTATAGTGTTCACAATAGTTAGGAGTGAAGATCATGACTTTGGTAATTTGGAACATTCACAGTGAACAATCTGGTGCCATAGAAGATAAAGGCTTGTATTCCTGTGCTGTGCGTCAGGGACCACAGTGGCACAGTTCATTTACAACGCTACGCAAAAACCTCTCTATTGACCTTCTCTTCATTCTGTGTTGCTAGACTAACAGTTTGTACTGAAACTACTTTACAACACTAGTATCTTAAGAAAAGATTCAAAATATTTTAAGCTTCATAACAAGTTTTCAAATATAAATCTGGCTATCTTTGTAACTAAAATATATGGAATAAACCATTATTATTCATGAGAAAGAGGTAATTATGGAAACATGAGTCGGGCTTCAAATGACAGTTATTTTCATTGTCAGAATATGATGATTCTATTTTATTACATCTTTACATTGCTTGTTGTTTACAGTCCAGTAAAACACCAAAGAAATATTCATGTGTAAAACACAGTGAAACAGATAAGTTAGATATTTAAGCATCAAATTTAATGCTCGACATTAACTGGACAAACTAATCTTAACTCAAGGTCACCTTACTGGACCTCCACTATATTTACCAAAGACCATCAGATATGGTTAAAGCTCCAGAAAGAGCTAGCAAGTGGACCTTGAGTTAATATTATTTTGACAGACATTTTTTAAATCATTTATTGATACTCAAATAAATAATCTACCACAAATTAACAGAACATTCATATAGTTTGTATAGAATGTATTTGTTGCAAGCAAACAATCACCATTACATTTCAAACATGTAAGTACGGTAGCTTCACTGGGGTCATTTAATGGACAGACTAACACAAGGCAGTGTGTTAGTTTCAGCATGTTTTCTTGTGCTGTTAAAGGTGTTTTACTGTTGTTGAAGTTTTTAAATGCAGCGGTTACAGGCTTTTATTTGGAATTATTACCAATTGAGTAAAATAAAAATGGCTAGTTTATGTCAGGAATCATTATAAACGTGAGCACACAGTATTTATGTTTTATTTATATGGTCAGAAATGACTAATTGGAGCTTTCAGACTTAAGAGTTGTAGTCAAACAAACAGACTCGACTGTATTGTTGCACCTGGTTTTAATGTTCATTTCAGGTCTTTGTTATTTTGTATCCTTTCATAAGGGGCAGTTCAGTATGTCTGTGGTGTATAGTGGCAGTTCAGGAAGAGGACAATGCATTATGACACCACCCAAATAGAACATATTTTCCTGATGGGAAGGTTTACCCAGCAATAGAGGAGTGAATATTCAGTAGAAGTGCACATACAGAGATGAGAGCACAGCACCAAAAACAAGGATATTCTTAAATTCAGTCACAAAACTCAACAAGATGATCACTGTCTTCTGCTTAGCCCTTAATATCATACTGGTTTCAGGTAATGTAAGAAAAGTTCTCAAAATGATTATCAGGTTATCATCCCGGCTGAGCGTCCTTGTACTTTTACATTCATGAGGACTTACACTCTTACCTCATTACTATATATTAATGTGTGTTTGTTGATGATTTGTAATTAACAGGTTCGTCTCTCAGTGAAAAAGTCCACCAGACTCCAGCTGATATGTTTAGCAACCAAGGAGAAATAGCCAAAATACAATGTTCCCACAGTATTGAAGGCTACGATCGAATCCTCTGGTACAAGCAAATCACAGACGGACAACTGCAGTTACTGGGATACATGGTGGCAAACACTGGATACCCAGAGACCGGAGTGAATGTGAAGATAGATGGAAATGCAAATAAAGACCAGACCTGCACATTAACAACTGAAAGACTGAACAGCAGTGCAGTGTACTTCTGTGCTGCTAGTTAACACAGTGCTACATATCACTGCTCCTCAGTACAAAAACCTCATCGCACAGCTCACAGCCTCTTAACACCTGCGTTCCCTCTTCAGCATATCATTACTCAGATCTTTACACACAGAGCCAGTGATGTGTAAGAGGTAGTTAAAAATGAGTCAGATGCTCAATGACACCACCCACCTAATGACTTGGGAGGGTTTAAGCCACAAGAAGGTTGGAATAGTCAGTATAACTGTTTCACTCATTGCAAAGACAAACAGGAAAACACAAAATGATCCTGTTATTCATTTGCATTACTTTTAAGTCTATTCTGGTTTCAGGTAATGTCATTAAAAATCATTTAAAATATAATTTTAATTCACATTTTCAACAAAATCTGTTCAAGAAATTGCTTGTGTACAGTCACTCTCACATATTACTGCTATTTCAGCTGTCTTTTGCATTAATTTACATTTCATTTTGTTCAATTCACCAGTGTTTATGCTCTGGTTGTATTCTGTCTGAGGGTTTGATTCTTTTTAAGCAGGTTCCTCTCTCAGTGGACAAGTCTACCAGACTCCAGCTGACATGTACAACACACCAGGAGGAAAAGCTGAAATCAACTGTTCACACAGTATTCAGAGCTATGACCGAATCCTCTGGTACAAACAAACAGACGGACAACTACGGTTACTGGGATATATGGATTACAACACTGGATATCCAGAGAGTGGAGTAAAAGTGAATATAGAAGGGAGTGCCAATAAAGGCCAAACCTGCACATTAACAATTGAAGAACTTCAGCTGAACAGCAGTGCAGTGTACTTCTGTGCTGCTAGTTTACACAGTGCTACATATCACTGCTCCTCAGTACAAAAACCTCATCACACTCTTCATCTCTGTAGCACACAGCCTCTTGCACCTGTATGCTTTCCTTTCAGCAGGTGGTGGTATATCTTAACTCATCCCTTTATACTGAACCAGTGGCGTGTATAGTGGTAGTTGACATGATAGTTAGAATATTAGAAGATGCACGATGACACCACCCACCTCATGCCTTCATGTTGGTTTGTAGATAGTAGGGTTTACTCAAAGAGTTGAGCAGCGGCCATGGGTTTGAGTCCGGCCTGCAGCCCCCCTCACTGTGTGTCATCCCCTTCCTCTCCCCCTTTCCTGTCTGTCTTGAGCTGTCAAATAAAGCCTATACATATATATATATATATATATGAAAAATGTGTCCAACTTCACATTACCTTCACACACTGACTCATGCAGTATTTTTCACACCTGCAGGGGGAGACAAACCTCTGCAAGTTAAATAGTTAAAGACTTACAACACAGTACCATACATTGCTCATAAAGCATAGGTTGTGATGTATATATCGGACACCTCCCCTGTTTCATATAGTGTAATAGTCATGTGCTCTTGATCTGAAAGGGCCTGAAAGGGAAGCCAACAGTAGAGTCTCACAGTTTTTATTCTTTATTCTTCATGATGTTACAGGTTTTTCTATTTTGTTTCCTTCGTCTGCCGGGGAATGAGGGTGAGTATACAAACAGAAGAACACACTCAACAGATAATAATTTCAGTATTTTAAACAGCGTCTGTTCTTTCCCCACAGGTTCCTCTCTCTCCGACAGCGTCTTCCAAACGCCTCCTTTCATCATTAAGAGAGTTGGTGAATCTGTTGTCAGTGGGATCAAATGTTCACATACCATAACAAGTTATCAAGTTATTCTCTGGTACAAACAAGATGAACGCAAACCTCTGCAGTTCCTGGGATATCTGAATGTCAACTTCCCATACCCTGAGGAAGATGTGAAGGAAAAAATCAGCTTTGATGGAAATGGCCAGAAGTATTCTAACCTCAATATTTCCAGTGTTTCATTAAATGACAGCGGCGTGTATTTCTGTGCTGCCAGTCGGCACAGTGCTTCAGATTCCCCACAAGTCAATACAAAAACTCTCCTTTATCTGCCTGCAGATAGACAACATGTTGAGTCCCTGAACACCTGCAGCCAGCCTCCATCTAAACCGAGCCTTTCAAGATTTCATCAACCGTTCTGACTGAATTGTGACCTCCTCTGAGGTTGTGCTGTAGGCCCACAGATAAGCAGGTTATTTTAGGATGTGCAGAGCATAATGTTTGTGATAGACTCTCATGACTGATAGTTCCCTGTAAATAAGACGTGTTCAAATCAAAACCACAATCTTGCCTGCACGCCTCAGGGTCCTAGAGGCGTACAGGTCCTGGAGGGATGGCAGATTGCAGCCGATCATCTTCTCAGCGGAACAATTGATAGGCTGCAGTCTGCCCTTGTCCTTGACAGTGGCAGCAGTGTACCAGATGGTGATGGGAGAGGTGAGGATGGACTTGATGATGGCAGTGTAGAAGTGCACCATCATCGTCTTTGGCAGGTTGAACTTCCCAAGCTCCCTCAGGAAGAACATCCTCTGCTGGGCATTCTTGGTGAGGGAGCTGATGTTCAGCTCCCACTCGAGGTCCTGGTTAATGATGGTACCCAGGAAGCGGAAGGACTTCAGAGTCAACTGCGGACTCACACAGGATGATGGGGGCGGGTGGGGCTGGGTTCTTCCTAGAGTCCACAAACATCTCCACTGTTTTTAGAGCGTTTAGCTCCAGGTTATTCTGGCTGCACCAGGACTCATTTCCATAAGAGATTAACCAATGAGGGTGGTGTTATCTGCAAACTTCAGTAGCCTGACGGACTGGTGACTGG